TTTTAGCAAAACGCTTCTCAATTTCAGTAAGGAAATATTTAGCTTTAGTAATCCCTTCAGATTCTATGCCATTGAAGGCTTCCGGAATGCCACGCTTAAGGATCATTAGACTCATGCAATTTGAACGCTCCCACTTCTTATACTCTTTTGCATCAGAAATACTATCCGTAGTGAGAAGTTGGGGTTGCTCAGTCCTTAATGCAAGGTCTAGATCTATGCAGCCAAGAACAATTAAAATGTTCTCTTTTCAAACCTTAAAATTTGTCCCATTGAGCATGAGAGTTGAATTTATGTTAGCAGAAATTATTACAGCAGATACATCAGCTGAAATAAACAAAAGATTTTCACATTATTAATCATAATTAGTAATCAATAAAATTTAAATAATGATAAATTCCATCTTAAGATATCTAGTACAACATTAATATCAAGTCTTTGGACAGTAATATTAATTGCAAGTGATACCTTGTTGCAATGATCAAACACTGATAATAACTCATATCAAACAATAAAACTATCTTTGGATTGATTCATTATTCATATATAAACATTATAATTATCACACGTTTATCATTGTAGATGTGTATGCTGTCTAAATAAATATTAATCTTCTTTTGGGTCGATTAAATATTTACACGAAAATATACACACAACCATCTAATATTCTTCATGGACAATTTACACAAGAGAGATTACTTTGATAATATCTTATTTTAATTAATTATTTAGAATGAAAGACAATTTTAATACCTTAGTGTCATATTATTTGAATTAAATTATTGATTAACTACCAAATTTAATTCAAATTAAGCAATTTAATTTAAATTAAATAAATTTCCACAACTTAATAAGGGCCCACAACTTAGGATTTATTTGATAACATCAATTAATGCATAACTTGAATAATTGCTGGCCCAACTACATGCCCATAACTAATAACAAAACCTCATTTTGTTAAAGGCCCAAAATAAACTTGATTGTTTAAGAGGGCTTCGGCCTGAAAAATTCTCAAGGAAGTTCGAAACTCATCAAAAAATCGAGCTCAACCTCGCCTGAAACAAACGTAAGTTTGTCTGAATCGAGCTTCAGACCAAGATCGCTTGAATCGAGACTTAGCTCGCTTGAATCGAGGGTTTTAACTCGCCTATAAATGATGTTCGAAAGCTCGCCTGAATCGAGCGTCGAACTAGCTTGTAAACGAGCTCGCCTGAGGCTAGAACTCGCTTGAATTAGACTCGAGCTCACTTGGAATTAAAAGATCAACCTCACCTACAGACGTTGCTGATGAGGCTCGCTTGAATGATCTTCGAGCTTGCCTGTAGAGTTGCTGACGAGGCTCGCCTGAATCAGGCAACTTCTAAGCCCTAAGCTTGCCTAAACTCGAATGTCGAGCTTGTCTGAAGTCGGGGCTCAAGCTCGCCTGAAGGGGCTTGAGCTTGCCTGAATAGGCTCAAGATCGCCTGATTTAGGCTCACCTTCTGATGTAGCCGATGAGTTCATTGTTGGCCTTCTTGTTTTGATGATAATTTAACAAACAGTTTACAACTAATATTGGTTTTAGTATTTTGTTTTGTGTTGTTAATTATATACAGGAAATTGAGCTAAATTGATATTAAAGCATATGGAAATCAAGTCAATTAATCAAAGTTCAAGCTTCAGAAGATTCATTCTTGGTATACTTAGTATAGGTTTATATAATGTGTGCAAATTCAGAAGATTCATTCTTGGTATACTTAGTATAGGTTTATATAATGTGTGCAAATTCTACAAGCTCAAATATACACACACATTTCATTTGTGAATTTTCTCGTGCAAATTCTACAAGCTCAAATATACACACACATTTCATTTGTGAATTTTCTCAAATATAAGTGTTTTCATGCAAAATATATTTTAAAATGTTTTGGACTATACAAACATTGTTAACATATTCTATTAAGTCCATAAAAATATTACACAAGTTTTCAGAACTTGATTTGAGCTAAATGTCAAAATCAACATGTTTAAAAACATGTATTTTTAGTGCTTTTGAACTTTTCTGAGATTTCACAAATAGTAAAAGCAAATTGAAAAATTCCTATTTCAACATGCTTATATTCATGTTTATAAACTTTTTTCTAAAGTTTTACATTTTTTAGAATTTATTTGCTATTTTTAAAAGGGCTTTAAATTTTGTTTTTAAAAATCAATATAGGCTGAAAACCTGTTATCAGCCGACTGATGAAACTGTCTGCTATCTTGAAAGTTTTTGTTTTTTTGTTGGTCGATTGATCAGTCGACTGATGAGGTCATCAGTCGACTGGCCATGCTTTTCAGTTGTCTGATAAGCTGCCATTTGCCTATGAGGGTTAGCTCATTAGTCGACTGACGCAACCCGTCAGTCGACTGATAAGCCCCAATGGCTATTTTTCCAGCATGTTATATTTTTGTCCTTTTGCTGATTTTTCTTAGTTTTTGGGCTTTGGTTTTTCATTCTATATATACCCCTTATTGTTTCACTTCTGAGAGTATCTAAGAGGGTTTCTAACAAGAGTTTAAAAGAGTTTAAAGTTTGTTTAAGTTTTCTAAGTTTGAGTTTACAAAGAGGAGGCTTGCATTTTCAATTGAGGAATGCATCCTCAATCTTCTTCATCCTCTATTGTATTTATAGAGAAGTTTTTCTAACTCTCTTCTCTAGTAAATTGTTACCGTTTTTCATATTCATTTTATTGCTAGTTTGCTATTTGAGTTAGATTTTATTTGAACTCATTTTATCACACACACCTCTATTTGAGCTTTTAGTATTTCATACATCATATATTGGGTTGTGAGATTGTGATATTGTGAGAGTGAGCTTACATTGTGTTCTCACCTATTGTAGAGAACAAAATCTTGTATTTGAGCCTTATTGTGAGTTACACGTTGTATTACACTTATACACCGAGAGGAGTGGTTGGTGAGAGACGGGGTCGATTCCAAGAGGACTGGGGTCGGTTATAAAGCCTAGAGAGAGGTTGTAAATCTGAGCACTTGAGGAATAGGACACGAGCTAGGCCAACACTTAGAGAGTGTAAAATGTGATTGCAAGTGTGTAAGTTGTAAAGTTTTTGGTGAACTAGAAAACCGTATTGTAAGGTATAAACGTTATTCGGGTGAGCATCGAAAACCCGGTTATGATAGTGGAGATCTCCTCGAGGCGAGGAGCGAAGACGTAGGTCAAGTGGTTGACTGAACTCTGTGAATATATCGTGTGTTTATGATTATTTTTGTGTACTATCACTCTTGTTTAATTATTGTTTGTTCATATATCCTTGCCTTAATCTATTGTATATCAATATTGTTAGGATATATTTGTTAGCAAGTTTTAATTGGTATTAATATCTAATAAGATTAGCATAAAACCTATTCACCCCCCCCTCTAGGGTGCTTTCATTTGCCTGCAACCTGGTCGAAGCTCGTTTGAATTCATGTAAGCTCTCATGCCCTAATTTACGCACGATCCCCTTTAGGGTTTCGTTCTGAACCACTGCCGTCGCTTAAGCTCCCGCACCCTAGGGATTCGAAACCCTAGGGTTTCCTGATGTCGTCACTGCTGTCGTCCTTTGACAGTGGGACCGCCAGCAGAACATCGCCGGCGAGGAGCCCAATGATCGACGCCAAAAAGATTCTTTATGTTGCACGCGAATAGTTGATCAATGATTTGATCCTGAATCCAAAAATTGGTGATTTTCTCACAATCAGGATCAAGAGTTTGATATACATACCAAAAAACATGAACTTTACTGTTCATGCGTGCAATATACCAAAAAATGTCAAAAAATTGAAAGCAAAACAAAGAAAATTTGCTACTGTTCATGTGTGTAACAGACCAAACATGCACACATCCAAACAAACCCTAATTTCTTAATCTTAAATCCCTAAGAATTAACCACGATGGTTCTGATACTACTTGTTGATCTTAATCTATCTAAATCATACAATATATAATCATGATTGATTCAAAGAGATTAATTATAACAAGAGCGGAAGCAATACTTGAATACATGAAGATTTGCTCGGATCTGAATTAGGGTTTGAACTTCTAATCTTGAGGGTCTCTTCTTATTTTCTCTTTAGATGGTGATTAAGGGAATAGAGAACGTAACCTCAGATTAGGGACCATAACGCCTTATTTGTAGATGTTGTACTTTTATAATTTGCCCCCTCATCAAATTATAATTACAACCTGGTATTTGCACAATTAGCCCCATGATTAAATTAAATACTCATTGACCCAAATTAACTAATTGATCACTTTATGCGGGTCAACCTTAAGGATAGCTTTATATACTAATATAACATGTGTGCCCATAACAAGATTTAATCCAACAAAAACCTCTCTAATAAAAAATAAAATTGAATTGTGATATGGTTTTCAAGGTTGACAATGCAGAGTTGAGTTATGGATGCATCATACAAAACCATGAGGGGGATTTTATTGTAGCAATGACATGAAATAGTAGTTATTGGAATCCACTCTAAGTAGCAGAAGCAGTCATAATTCTTGATAGGATTCACTTTGCAACATTTGGAGGTGCAAACGGGGTCAAATGCAGTGTTTAGAGCAATAAAGACCTTATCTCCTTGTCTTTTGTGTCTGTATTTTGTGTCCATTATTTTTTGTGTCTGTATTTTCAATGGATGTACACTCTTCTTTGTTAAGCAAATGAAAATTGGTCATTTTTCTATTAAAAAAACTTTATTGCATTTCACTTTAGTAACTATTTACATGCACAGAAAAAACACCTAAAATGTTAAAAAATAGTCATTTTCTCACTTTCATCCGACACTTACATGCAAACAGACAGACCCTTAAGCGAGAAAAGTTTTCTCTGACATATAAAGTTCATGATTGTTCTGTGCAAATGGTATCAAAGTTCGAGGTAGTTTTCCGAAATTTGCCCAATTTATATCGCACGAGTTGGTTGGGTTTTCATTAGCCTTACATCCGGGGTCGGATCCAACAAAATTAGCAACGGATTCGCACCGCTTGCCCAAACCCTAAAACCGGCCCCCCTCCTCTACCCCAAAACCAAACTCGTTCGAGAAAAATCGGCACTGTGCTTACTGATCTCAGTTCCGCAAACTCAAAAACCCTAGTTCCTCTCTCTTCGCTTCTCTCTCTTTCTATCTGGTATCTTATAGGACAATGGGTTTTCAACTGCAATCGTATGGGATCCAATCGATGCTGAAGGAAGGGCACAAGCATCTCTCTGGCCTCGACGAAGCTGTCCTCAAAAACATCGATGCTTGCAAAGAGCTCTCCACGATCACTCGAACTTCTCTTGGTCCCAATGGTAATCAACCGATTCTTTGTCTGATTCAGTTTCTTTTGTTTTGATTCATTTTCATTATTTGTAAGTAACTCTACAAACACACAAATCACTAAACAAGTCAATCTTTGCTCCGTTTTTTTATGTCTAGGGTGTGGTGGGGGAAACAAAAATCCATGGGTTTATTTGAGAGTTTATAGTAATTTTTATTTTTCACTCCCATTTTTGTCAAAAAGAAAATTTTGGGTTTCTAGTAGTGGGTATGGTTAAGTGAAGAGGGATTTAGATGGCAAGCGTACTCGAAAAAAGTTTCCTTTTAAGATTTTAGGTTGCTTTCTTTTGATAACATGATCTATAAATCTAAAAATCGCTTAGATGTTCATCCAATTTTGAGATTGTTCAGGATTGAGCCAAAAGAAGAGATCATTAGTATTGTTGTTAATAGTGTACAGTGAAAAACAAATACATGTAACTCGCTGAATAGTCTTTTAGTGTTCTTCTGCTAGAAAACTGACATGGGTTTAACAAGGAATAGGACTTGGTAAAGGTATATGATTTTTTATATCACTTGTTTTTAATGGATATAAAAAATGTGTTCTTTTTGTGTCGTCACGATGATCTCTTTTTCCATGACTAAAATAATTGGGAAATGCCTGAGCGACATGCTTCTCTTGTATACCAACTGGTACTTGAAAATAACTCTATGGAAAGGACTTAGAAAGAGATACCACTTCCGAATTTGTGACTCTTATCCTGAATCTTCTTTCCTTATCTTGTAGGGATGAACAAAATGGTCATCAATCATTTGGACAAACTGTTTGTAACAAATGATGCAGCCACTATTGTTAATGAGCTTGAGGTCCAGCATCCTGCTGCTAAAATATTGGTTCTAGGTGGCAAGGCTCAACAGGAGGAGATTGGGGATGGTGCTAATCTCACTGTTTCTTTTGCTGGGGAACTACTTCAGAATGCAGAGGAGCTTATTAGGATGGGGCTTCATCCCAGTGAGATCATTAGTGGTTATACAAAGGCTATTAAGAAGGTTTGTTTGTGAATCTAATGGATTGATTGTATTTGATAGAATGTCGATTGTTGCATCATTACTATCCTATTGATCCTTCAGGTACAATGTGCAAGTGATATGGCCATGAAATATCAAGTATTGTCATTAATATATAGGTGATAACAAAAGAAACTACCAAGTCTTCTATTCTACTTATATGACAGATCACTGGAAAATATTGAATTTATCTCCAATTATCATTTGTTAAATGATGTTTAAAATAATGCATTAGCGTCCATATGATCCATAAGCTATTCAAATTTGGATATCTAGATCTACTCATAATTTAGTTCTATGAAACATAGATGAGATGCATATTTTTGCTAACAATTTCACGTTAGCACGAGCATAAAGTTCAGCTAACAATTGCCTTATTTAAGACTATATGCAGTTTATTAGAATGTTCTGATATTCTTTTCTGATGCTTGTTGAGTCATAACTCTATTGTGTGGTACACTTTGGTCATATAGCTTTCTCCAGTTTCGTTTTGTCATTTCTATATATTTTAAGCCTTATTAATTTGTGAGTATATTTTAGTGAAGCTTTCTAAGGCTCATGGTGTTCATATTCTTATTTGATATATTGGATGTTTATTGCCAGGTGCTCGAAATTTTAGATGAATTGGTGGAAAAGGGATCAGAAACTATGGATGTGAGAAATAAAGATGAAGTTATTACCCGGATAAAGTCTGCTGTTGCTAGCAAGCAGTTTGGTCAAGAAGATATTTTGTGCCCACTTATTGCTGATGTAAGTACCTGGAAAGAATATCCCCTTTCTTTTTCTCTATCTCTTCCCCATTCTTTTTCCTGTGATATATAGTACCCTATTTCTCACAAGAAATTGTCGTTCGACATACCTAGACATGATGCCTGTGTTCATGTGTGTCGAATACTTGAATTTTATTAAAATTCTATTTCCTCTAAAGTTATATACAAGTTGGAATATGTTGTGCTTCTTTAGCCAATGAGTAACTACTTTTAATAGATCATTTTACTAATAAGGTTTGTTTACATATAAATAGCAAAAGTACACAGTCATGTATGTATGTATATATTGAAATGTGATCATGTGACAAACATATATGGCTATGTTATTGTATCTGGATTTTGACACTTGATGTGTCCAACACCTTGAATCCTTGTAAGAGCATGACACTCCTGCATGTGTACACAAATCAGAACATTAATCCTCTGGAAAGTTTGATGTGTAATCATTGTTTTGTAGGCATGCATTCAAGTCTGCCCCAAGAATCCCACAAACTTCAATGTTGACAATGTTCGAGTTGCAAAGCTTGTTGGTGGTGGTCTTCACAATTCTTCAATAGTTCGTGGTATGGTTTTGAAAACTGATGCTGTTGGAAGTATAAAGAAAGTGGAAAAGGCGAAGGTATTCTCTACTTTCTTCTTCTAATTATTCTCATCTCTAGACAATCTTTAATGCTTGTTATAATAAATAGCTAGTAATTTTGGCAAATGAAAATCTATTAACACTTAGTGTATATATAAGGCCTTAGGAATAATATTAGTGTGCTAAATACTTTATTTCTTACTTCATGTCTTTAACATGTGATTATTGGTGACTATACATGTCATATGTGATCTAATTCCCCGATTTATTTTTTATTATTTGAACTCTGTCAGCAAATTGAGTCAATTATTTCTTATTAGACTTGAAAGTATTTTCATTATCCCACAAATTAGTCTGGGCATTATGGGTAATTTCATACTGTCAACATGAAATATTTAGAAATTTGGTTGTATGTTGACCAATTTATTTGGAAATGTTTAAAGATGACACCCATATGTTGCCATTACAACAACAGCAAGCTGTTATCCCAAATTTTCAGTCAGAAGTCCACCGTATGAACTATTCTTCCATTCAATTCTGTTAAGGATTATCTACTTTAACACTACCAGATCCTGTTTAATTGTTTCCAACCAAGTTTTTTCTAGGCCTATCTTTAGTCCTTATTCTATTAGTTTTTATCATATTCTTCTCATATGTATGGATTTATCGGCCTTCGTTGCATATGATCAAATCATTTTAATTATTTATCTCTCACTTTATCCTTAATATTAGAAACCTCTTAACTCAATGAAAGCAATCTCTCTTATGAGAGCTTTCTGTGAAGATATCACTGGATCTATCTCAGTAATTTTTTTTATAGACAATTGGTTAAGCGGATTACTGATTAGGTACAAGCATCTAAATAGATTTGCCTCTACACCGATACGCAGGCATGCCCAAGATTCATATTATTTAAGGTTCTTTATTTATAAACTTCTGTGCTCTTATACTATTTTTGACTTGTAAATCTGTAAACACAAATATGTGAAGGTTGTTTATATGACACAATACAGTAGCGTCACAGCTAGGGCTTGTGCCTATCTTTGTAGTCAGATGTAGATGTATTTTGAAGCGTAACATTATTTACTAGACTTAGTTTGTAGTTAACTTGTCATATTGTCTATGCTTTCACTATTGAAAATGTTTTTGAAGTTTTCAAAATTCTTCATCATCAGCTTTACCATTGAGAATGTGGCTTTAAAATTTAGGTTTTTTTTTTTGGGGGGTGGGGTGGGAGGGTGGTGTATACTCCCATTTGCTCAGGTTTTCAAAATTTTCGGTCTGGTAGTCATGTACTTTCTAGACGAAATAGCAGTTCGCGCCGATTTGCCACTGCCTTATTATATATCAAATCTGCAGTTTGTCATATCCTTCATATCTTTCTTAGATTGCTGTGTTTGTTGGAGGCGTCGATACATCTGCAACCGAGACCAAAGGAACTGTTCTTATACATAATGCTGAAGAGGTACTATTATATGCTTTGCTTTGTTTGGTTCAGTGCTTATTTGATTATTTTCATTCTTTCTTATCCTTGTTAAAATGATTCATAATTTTCAATTCTGATCTATCTTGTTGCTACACTTTGGAAAGTTTTGTTTTGGATCACTGTGCCTCGAGCGGTTATTGAAAGCTAAATATTAGAAAGTGCTAGGATGTGCATGCAACATCTACTTATTTCACTGTGTCTGCTTTTATGATTCATTTATGAAATGCTTTCCGAATTTGTAACTAATCACCTGGTCTAAAAGATTTTGTTGAGTTAATTAGAATGATATCCAAAATATTATGTATTATGTAAAATATTTTAATTGTTGAAAATAGTATACATTAATCTAAATGCAAATGTGAATGTAGCTGCATGGTCTTATTATCTGACAGCTTTGAAATTGTATTCAAACTTGATTTCTTTTTCTTTGTATTTCATGGGCAAGTTCGTTTTCATCTCAAGTTATCCGTTTAATTATATGGATTGGTTCTGCAAAGCTTATCACATTATAACTAATGTTTTTGAGTGAAATATAATCCTACAACTATTGAATGGTGTGACATGCATATAAATTCCATAGAGGCAAAGAAGTACTATTTAATGGTGTATTTTCCTTTGTGCAGTTAGAGAATTATGCTAAAACTGAAGAAGCTAAAGTTGAGGAGCTAATAAAGGCTGTTGCAGATTCAGGTGCAAAAGTTGTTGTTAGTGGAGCTGCAGTTGGCGAGATGGCTTTACATTTTTGTGAGCGTTACAAGTAAGTGGGCTGTTCTCGTTGCCTTTCTCATTACCAGTGACCCAATCATTTTTTGCATTCATAATGAGGTTGGAGTTCTTTTGTTCCCTATTTTTTGGATTATACATAATATTTCTGATATGCTTTTTTCACATAACAATTTTACATCAAGATTTTGCCTCTTCCAGTGAGAGTAGCCTTTGGGACATTTGGTTCATGAAGCACGCATTTCTTCTTTTTCATAATAAGTCATTGTTTCTTTTCAATTAGCTAATTACTCTTGCTAATATGTAATCGTGGGTGCAGATGTAAATTTGGTGTCTATTTTAGGAAACTTATGGTTTAGTTCTTCTGTACCAAGATAAACTATATTGTTTATTGATTCTTTTCTTTTGTTCGCTTTGTTTGGTTGTGAGTGGGGTGGGATTTGAGGTGGATCTAATACTTATTCCAATTCAATTTTACATCAGCCTGTTCCCATTACCCTTTGATTGGCCAGTTGAAAATCTAGTTAAATGAGGCATATGCTTCTGTGTTTTATTACATGATTCTTTCTTTTCATTTAGCTCATTAAGCTTACTATATCTATTATTAGGAGGCCAGAGTTCGTTATACAGTTGACCTAGACCCTGGTTCGACCAACTTCTATTCATTCTAAAACAATCAATTACATTTTTGCCTCTTTTCTTTTCAGGGTGCATGCGTAAAAGGGACATGAAACCTAATCGTTCGAGATTTTAGTCTATACTAAATTCAGTATAAACTACTAGGTTTGAGCATAGCAAAATTCTCTATTCAACCAGATATACCATATATCTTGGATGAAAATTAATGTCGAAAATGGAAGATTTTGTATGCATGCGCTAAATTTAGGGCCTGTTTACAGTTGGTTGTTTTCACTTTTTTTTTTGAGGGGGGGGGGGGGGGGGGGGGGTTTGCTAAGACTTGTTGATGTTCCCGCAAATATATCCTGAGTGGAACAGCTGACATTAATGAAGACAAAAAGTGATCTTACTTTATTCATTTTTCTGAATGTCAGTAGGTCTTTGATTAATTTTTTATGATGCAGCCATCTGTTATTATCTGAGCGTAGGCTATTCTAAGGATGATGTTGTTGCTTTTGTTACTAGGTTTCTAACATAACATAAAATTGCAGTATTTCATCGGTTGTGTAAAACTTCACCTCCTTGAGGAAAATTTAGTTATTTTTAGAGGCTTCATCTCTGGCGAGTAAGGGTGCAAACGGATCAGATACGGCTCAGATGATGCTTTTGTTACTTGGTTTCTAACATAACTTATAATTTCAGTATTTTTTAGTTGCCAGAAATGGGGGAAAAGAAAAAAAGAGAAAGAAAAAAAATATTCTCCTTGAGAAAATTTAGGTATTTGGAGACCTTTTGGACAAGGTTTGTAGTATTGGTGGAGACCAATACATAACATTTCCAATAACCGGATATGATCCCATGATTGAGTAATAGCAACTGATAAAAGTTGATACTCACTAATGACGACTAATACTTGAGGAGATATGAGGAGGGTGGAAACGGATCAGATACGGCTCAGATGATGCTTTTGTTACTTGGTTTCTAACATAACTTATAATTTCAGTATTTTTTTAGTTGCCAGAAATGGGGGAAAAGAAAAAAAAGAAAGAAAAAAAATATTCTCCTTGAGAAAATCTAGGTATTTGGAGACCTTTTGGACAAGGTTTGTAGTATTGGTGGAGACCAATACATAACATTTCCAGTAACCGGATATGATCCCATGATTGAGTAATAGCAACCGATAAAAGTTGATACTCACTAATGACGACTAATACTTGAGGATATATGAGGTTTGAAGTATCGGAAGTTGATTTGGTCATGTCAGTCGGAAGAGAGAAGAAATTTGTGAACATAAAACTCCTAGCTAACCTAACTTATTCTATATACCAATACTTTTATTTAATGCTGTTGAAACCCCGGCTAGCGGTGTTAATAAAGACGAACCAGAAGTGACACTGTACCAAGATTTCAGACCTTTGGCTTGGAAGAATTACTGCCTGCTCCTGGTGGCATACTACTTGTTTCTTAGCTGCCTTTCTTATTTATGATGATTTGCGCTGCAAGAAGTAAATACTTTGTGTTACTATGATAGCTTGAGTAGTCGCCACTAGCATTGGGGATCTTCCCGTTTCCCCACTCCATCCTCTCCATTTCTTGGGCTGAACATGCCACTGTATGCAAAAGGCGAACCATAAGTGAGATATGTCCTGAGATTTCACATCTTTGTTTCGGGAGAACTACTGCCTTCTCCATTGTTTGTCAATGGTGCCATGCTACTTGTTCCTTAACCACCCTTCTTGTTTATGATGATCTGAGCTCCGAAAAGTAAATGTTTCATCTTAGTATGGTAGTTTGACCAGTCACCATTGGCATTGGTGGTCTGCCTTTCCCCCCTTCTCCCTCTCTTGGGCTGAAAAACATGCCAACATGGTAATTTGGAGTTTATATAGATAAATTTCTTGGATAGGGTTCATGTGAATTTGATGGATGGGTTTCATGTGTGTTTAACATGTCCTGTCAGGATATATGCTGGAACAGATGCATGAGATCATGTCTAGGTATTCTTTTCTGTAATGCAAAATGTACCTCTAATGATGTACAATATACATATTTCATTTTTTTAATGCAGTATCTTGGTATGTGCTTTATAGTATTGTGCATGTTGAAGAAAGAATTTGTTTGGAGCTAAATGACAATGACATTTGCGGTGTGCAGTATGAATTTATATATAATTAGCTTTTTAAACTTTGATTCTCTTGCTAAGTACAGACTCATGGTTCTAAAGATTAGTTCAAAGTTTGAATTACGAAGGTTTTGCCGTACAACGGGTGCTGTAGCTCTTGTAAGTCTCGCGTTACGCTTGCTTTCTTAAATACATTTAAGTAATCTTGGTAACTTGTGTGATAATAACTGTTTATGATCACAGCTGAAACTCAGCCAACCAAATCCTGATGACCTGGGTTATGCGGACTCAGTTTCAGTGGAGGAAATTGGAGGCTCACGGGTATACTCTAAATGTTAATACATGATTCTTTTACCCCTTTTTAGTGTTTTGTTGGTAATGAAAACCTGTATCTAACCACCACTTGCGCTTCTGTTGTGTAGGTAACTGTTGTGAAAAATGAAGAAGGGGGAAACTCAGTTTCGACAGTAGTCTTACGAGGTAGCACTGAGAGTATACTAGATGACCTTGAAAGGGCTGTTGATGATGGTGTCAATACATACAAGGTATTATTACGTTTGGATACATCTAGTTTTCTTTTATGTTGTAGGATAAATTTATATGTGAATACAGAGCGATGTGACTTATGTCTCGTGTGTATCGCTCAGGCAATGTGTAGGGACAGCCGTATTGTTCCTGGGGCTGCTGCAACTGAAATAGAACTAGCCAGAAAATTGAAGGAGTTCTCCTTTAAAGAAACAGGGTATGTTCTTGAATGTGCTGAAACTTTGTGATGGCACGTACAACTAGCATAAAATCTGCGATCCTTGTACTTTTTAAATGTAACTTTTTCTGTTCATTATCTGAGTACTGTGGTCTTTGTTGGATATTCTATCATCTTAAAAAATATTTATTTTTATGTACAGCTACCAAATGATTTTTCTTATATTGGATGTAAATAAACATATGTTCCTTGAATTGGGCCCTTAAACCTGGTGTATCGACTTATCCGGTGTCTGGGCTAGCAAAAGCAAAGATAAATCATATTTGTACTTGCAAGAACAAGGATCGGTCATATTGTTATGCTTTTGTGCTGTCGAATTATTGAAATGATAACCATGTAAAATTTATCTCTTGCATATTGTATTTTACTTTTCTTCTGGGAATTTTCAGAAAACCAGTTTGTTTGAGAACTTAAATTGAAAAGGTGAAAGAAAATTTGTGGAGCGGTGGATATATATTTTCTGGCTGCTAATTGAGATTTCAGTGTTGTCTCCTTTGAGTTCTAACTCTGTATTTTAACGTTCTACTTGCAGATTGGACCAGTATGCCATAGCCAAATTTGCTGAAAGCTTTGAGATGGTACCTAAAACCCTAGCTGAAAATGCTGGGCTTAACGCGATGGAGATCATTTCTTCCTTGTATGCCGAACATGCAGCTGGAAACCCCAAGGTTGGTATCGATCTGGAAGGAGGGGTCTGCAAGGACATTTCAGCCATGAAAATCTGGGATCTTTATGTCACCAAGTTAGTATCTTCCTTGTTTTTCTTCACAATATTTCTATTGATTTAGTTTAGCATTTTCTTCATTAGCTTTTTTATTTATGATGCTCTTCATTTTTCATGGGACAATAATAATTTTTGTTAACTTGAGACAACACATTTTTTTGTTTATGAATTATGATGAAGATGAAACACCATTACGGGTAACTTGAACTGAGGCTCCCAACTACCTGCTACAACGTTTTACCACTTTCTCCAGACCTCAAAGGCACTGACTGAGATTTCCTTAGTTCACTCACATGTATCTTGCGCAAAATGTGGAAAGCTACATTATTTATTTTGGTTAACCGATTTGGGTCACTTGAAAATTCTAAGATTCCTAGCTTCGTCAGGACTATTCTGATCACCTAGCTTACTTCTATACTTCATCTTTTGATAATTTTTGAGGAGGGAAGGTGTAGGCAACTTGGTTTCATTTCTTTTGATGGTGGAACATTTTATATTTGTCCGTTTGTACAAAGAAAGCAACTTTACCACTTATAGTGGGATAATGTATCGCTGCTTAATTATTTTCTCCCAATAGGTTCTTTGCTCTCAAGTATGCTGCCGATGCTGCCTGCACTGTTCTCCGAGTTGATCAGGTGCAACTTTATTTATATTTTCCCGACTAATTTCTTACTTTGTACGCATTTTTGTTAAAAGTAATTTGATTAACTCCAACACTTCGAATCCTTTGCAGATCATAATGGCTAAACCAGCAGGAGGGCCAGCAAGGAGAGATCAACCTGCCGGCATGGATGAGGACTAGACTAGTGTGATTTTTAAGCAATTTTTACTGCTAGAAAGAAGCTGGGTGATTTTGAAGCTTTTGTTTGTGTGCGTGCAGAGCATACTGAAATTTGATCCTCATTCTTATAGAAGATGTGAGCACAAAAAGGCTGAACCTTTTGTTGTATCCGGAATTACATCTTAGTTTGAGTAGTGGTTGGCCATTTATCTTGTAGCACTTCAGCGAAATTTGTAATAGTCAGAATATTTTGTTGCCCTTTGTGATGTTAGGCATTGTGGTTCAGCATTTTGCTCATCTTTGAGTGCTTCCTGTGGTTCTAATAGGCAGCATCCTTTGTCATTTAGTTGATTGAATGCTCAATTTGTCCATTAAAGCCAGTTTTATCCGATTGTTGTCTCTGATACATGTGGGATGGTTATTGAATTCATTGCCCTCTAGTTTTTTTTTCCTTCTTCAAAGTATGTCATAGCTTTTTGTTGAATTATAATCCGCGCTTAATCTTTGGTTTAGCTCTGCAGGTTACTGGTCTCGGATGCGTGTATGAGAGTTCAATACATCGCATAATATGTTCCTAGAGCTTATAAACTTGATGTGCTACATCTACACGTGCACTGAACGGTCACACTGTCTTTAAATCGAGCTTCGCAAATCGAGAGAGGATACTGCAATCAACTGGTGCTTATTAGGTCTGCATTTGTTCACTGATCACAATGTAGATATGTTTATGTTTTGGTAAGGAAAATTATCGTTCATTTCTGCACATGTTGAAGACGTGAGATGAGACGTATGCGTATGGATATAGAGATGATGTGAAGTTTGATGCGAAAATTGCATAGAGTAAAATAAAATATCTCAAATCGGAGAATCAGAGTCTACAAGTAAATTCAAGGTATCTAAATGGCTAAGCTTAGATCTCCAGATTATTAAAATTGGTCCTATTTAACCGATACACATATATATTTAGATGTCCGGATGCTTATTCAAACATTTTAATTATATGTGATTTCTTATTTGTATCCTACTAGAAGTCAAAAACGAAAAATGTACACGTATATGCATCCGTATTCATGGCTTAACGAGTTAAAATGTTAGTTATCTTATCAATATCCTATAAAATGCCGATACATATCAAAATACGTATATTTTCATAGTTAAATGGCGAGGTTCGGGCCAGTAATTAGGCAAAGCTTTTTGTGCCAAACAATAATTATAGTCTAAATTCGTACACATGAGTTAGTGAATTCTAAATTTGTTTCTTCTCTAAAATCAGGAAATATATCTTGTCCAAAGATGCAACCAAAGGCCCCAAAACCAGCTATGGATTCTCAGGATAAAACGAGGGCCAATCACAGCCTCTCTTGTTGCCACATGTGATCCGTTGGTCACCAACTATTCAAAAAGAGAAGAAAAAAAGTTTGTAGAAAGATAAACATACTGGGTGAACACAAAAGCTTTTTTAAGACTTCGAACAAGAAAATCTAGAGAAGCCTTTCTCTGTTGTCGATGGCGGCG